ATGTCTGCTGTCCAGCACAGGAGCTTTTTAAATTAATATTCCTCAGAGAGGTGATCTGATATTGCTTTTGCAGGCAAAGAAATGGGTCTGCTTTAAAAATAACCTCTTATATGAAATGATGCATCATAGCAATCCCATGCAGAACAGCAGCTAGGAAATTATTCCATAGCAACGGCCACATCTTAATAGAAGATCATCTCCTGGACATCTCCCTCTGCATTTCTGCAATTACCAACTATGTCTCCTACCATCTGCAATTATATAAAATCCCTCTGGCAAGTACAGCTATTGCTTACATGGAAAATTAATGTAGTGGAGCAATGGGACCTAATAACTAAATATAAGAAATGTGAGTTATTACTACATTACTATCTGCCAAGCTTTACACCAGCTACCAGGAAGCATTGAGCTGATCATTATATGAACTAATTTTGAATTCTTTGACTTAATAATATAAATCATAGCTCCTGGATTTAATATTATCTTTGCACAATAATGCAGAACTTTCCCCTGCCACTTGACATTAAAAATGCAGCAATGCAAGCGGCTGCTTTCAAAATCAGAAAGGAATGAATTGATCTGCTCAAAGGACAATGTGGGAGCCGGGTTATGTTGGCAGCAGCTGTGACCACAGGAGCAATGGACAAGTGTGCCTGGGTACTGCAGGGTGCATCAGGCTTGTTTCAAAGCACGCTTCTTCCATATTGCTCAGAAAGAGGCGTTTAAGCTTCCTGCTGCCCTGGCGTCATACTGCTGTTGGGCTATTGGTTTTAAAAAGCACTTTGATTCTATGTAGGAAAAGCAGGTTTTGAAGTGATTTATTTGGCAGGTTAATATTATTCCTAATCAACAGATTAATAATGATTTTACAAACTTTAGTCTTTTTTTGTCCCAGCATCCCTTGACTGTATTAATGACTTCCTACTCTGTTTTTAAAAGGTGCAGATATCATAGTGGCTCTCATTTTCATCTTAAAAATTTAAGACATTAGCCTTCTTTTTTTAAAAAGTGACATTTTATTTAAAGTACTTTGAAAGCAATTAAACATTTTCTGACAGTGGGTATAAACATTGATAAAAAATTTCCATAACTGACATTTTTCTAGAAGAAAGCAATGACAAATGGCATACATGTTTGAAAAAGTTGCACAAATATCATCTTGGGGAAAACAGTAAGACGTCGCCTGCCTAAAAAGATTTGGAACAAAGTAAATTATTGGTACTAACTTATCTCTGTCTACCAGCCTAGGAAAGAAATCTTAGACATCCACTTTTTGTGCTCTGGAAGTATTAATCTCACCATAACATAGCAACACCAGTCAGCACTTCTGCCACAGAACAACAAGCCTGGCAATTAATATAGAGTCGCCACTGCCTTGACAAAGTTGAGGCAGGAGGAAATGTTCTGAAGAGGGAGGATATCCCAGTTGTCATGACTTGGATGTCAAAGCAAAGATTGACTGTTTGAAAATTGAATTAATCCTGCTCACCTGTGGCAGCTGAAGAAAGGCTGAGTGTAAAACAGCAGCTCAGTCCAACAGTTAGCTGTCAGGTTTTGAACTGTGCTGAAACCAAACTGCAATTCTCTGGTAGTCTAGATAGAGGAGATAAAAAGGATCGTTATGATCAATGGCTCTGACCCTGAACCAAACAGGTATCAAACATACTGGGCTTCCAGCACCGTTTGTGGGCAACCTTAGTTGCAGAACTTCCTGATCTTGATTGCTAATTTTGAGTAAAAGGAAAGCTGAGTTTCTTCAGAGTGTCTGGAAAATAGAGGGAAGTGAAAGCAAAGGCCTGGCCCACACACATTCAAGTCCTGTGCGTCATTCCTCGGCGTGGTAACGACACCGGTGGATTACAGCAACCTGCTGGAAGGCCAGGGTGAGCTCTGTAAGTCACACCAGTACTGCCCTGGGACAGGCAGTAATTCTGTGGGTCACTTTAGGAGCATGAGCACTGAGTGGATTTGGTACGAAGCCACTGTGCCCCTGTGATGGTGAAGGCAAGAATGCCACCAGCATGATGCACAGTACAGGTATATTTATCTGTGTCACTGTAAGCTGAAGTTAAGAAGCATGGATTAGTCACATGGTCTGCAAGGACAGAGGAGGCTGAGCAGCTGAAGGAGGTTCAGATAACCCCTTCTGAGAAGCAGGTCATGTCTGAGGAATCTGTACTTTTCACCATGTGAAGTTTGAAGGAAAAGAGCAGGGACCTGCTGGTTAGGCATACAACATCCTGAAGGAATATTTCAGCAACCTGCAGTAACCTAGCACATGTATTCTTACTAGCCAATAAACATACAACAACAAATACCAGTGCCAAAAGAGGTGACACATTTAGTTAGAATAGCTATCCCAAACTGAAAATGCTTACCTAAGTTTAAGAGGATTACCCCCAGCACCAGCCCTTCCCACGCTGCTCTCTGCCCCCTCCCAGGTGATATTTGCTTCTCCACCACCTCTGTTGCATAAACAGTTAAGTATTTGTATTCTCAATCACTCAGAACTTTCTTCTGCAAATAGTCCCTTGATTATAGATTCAGTGTCAAAATAAGAGTAAATAAATGTAACAATATGAACTGTTTATATTAGAAATAAAGGCAGTAGAACCCTGGAAATAATGCTTTTTATCAATTTATAGATAAATAAATATATCACAACTGGCAAAGAGAACAAAATCTAAGCCAAATTTGCTTTAGTGAGGTAGTTCATGTAGTGTAGTTTCACAGGCTTTCGTAGAAACTTCTAGACAGTCACAATACATTGTGTGCTTTTAAAATGGGCACTCTTTGTAGATCCAGCAGGTGCTCAATATAATAAATCTGTGTTTTGGTGGGAGGTGAGCCAGTCAGTGCTAACATTACATATTATCAACAGCAGTCTTCATGCTAGCATCCTATTCCAGAGACAAATTGTTTAGGCCCTTTGCAAACTCAGGCAGCTCCCACTCCAGAAATTCTCACCAATTGAGAAGGCTTTGAAAGATAAAATTGAAAGTTTTGAAGGCTTTCTTCAAAAGCATAAAACCCATAGACACCCTTTCAAACCAGACAAAGTGAACAATGATAGTAGAAGAGCAAAGAAAGCGACCTTTGGGTTGTAAGGGACCTTAAAGATGATCTAGTTACAGCCCACAAGTCCCTACCCCTTCCATCAACCCATCGACAATGTTGTGTGTTCTTTAATTTTACACGGGCCTTTGCAGCTCATATCAACAGATATATCTGGGGGAGGGTTGGCTTTGTGGTTTGGGTTTGTTTTTTATTTTGTTGGATTTTTCTTTATTTAAATAAAGCTTGTGTGGGTGACAGGAAAACAGTGCGAAGAGCCATGCACTTGAGCAACACCAGCTCTGTTGGGTACTCTGCACAACATACAGAAAAGGTTACTGCGTGGGCAGCACTACCAACGGAGCAGGGCAACGAGGAGGAGGAAGAGGAGGAGGAGGGGGAGGTGGGAAGGAGATGATGTGTGTGGATAGGAATACAGGGAAAGCAGAGTGTGTCCTCAGCTCGTAAGAGCTGTGGCAGATGGCCTAGTAAGAACTGTATCCATATCCTTGGGTTAAGGGCAACCAGGGTACTTACCCAGCAGGGAGCCTTTGTTAGGCAAAGCTGCCCCACTGCAAGACATGCAAGGTACAATCAGCATACAATCAGCACTAGGGAGTGCAGTCAGGACTAGGCTGCATTTGACCGTGTGGTGCACCGAGAAGTAATGAGAGATGTCTCCGGAGACACTGAGTTTAGCTATGTTAAAAACCAGACCAGGTCTGGCCATTTATATGGATGAGAGCACCGCAATTATAATGCCTGAAACATCTTTTGAAAGGATTTTGTCAGACCAGCCACACATTTTACATAGACTGCTCCCGCTCCCCTGTTCTTTCTTTTTCTTTTAAACCCCCTTCTTCCTTTCTGCATTCTATTTTGTATGACAAAGACCCTGTGATGATATATATGCTGATATTCAGCAAAATAAGGAGAGCTGGAGCTCAGAGTGGTTGATGAGAAGAGCAGGAGAGAAACTCCTTGTAATCTAGTAGTAATGGCATTATGCCACTTGTCACCTGGTTCAGTTCTACCCATGAAAGAACAGAAAGGAACACTGGGGAGGAGGCTGTGGGCTGGCACTCTGCTTTGGGTACTGAAGGAATAGGATGCTCCATTCAAATTTCAGTGGCACAAGAGTCTGGGAGCACTAGCAAGCCAGGAATCTTCCAGAACTTTAAGAACTCCAGTTGCTCCTAGTCCCACCATTGTAAAAACAGAGGCAGTCTGTTGTGACTTGTCTGTCCCGCAGCTAAGATCCGCTGTGGCAGCTCCTCTTTTCCACTGGCAGCCGGTGGGCAAGGCAATGGGGGGAGGCAGGAGAGAGGTGGAAAAGAGAATGAACCCTCGGTCTGGCACAGGGTGTGGGGGCAAGCAGCAACCCACTGCTTGGGGCAAGCGCTCCCAATCCAGCAAGGTGAGCTCAAGGACATCCGTGTGGCCCATGCACAAACGCCTCCAAAGGCTCCATCTGGGGCCTTGGTAAAATGGCACTGAGCCATTTTTGTATAGCACGAGGAAGGTGCGTGCCCCTCACAGAACAATCCAGCTGCTCATTCTCTTCCCTCCATGAACTCCAATCTCCGGAGACCACAGCGTGAACCCCTCGTTCTGACCTCCCCGTCCTGAGAACGTGGGAGCGGAGCGTTTGCACACAATGGCTGTGCCGGCAGCAGCTGCGGTGGCCGCGGTGCCGAAGCCCAGCCCCAGCAGGGACCGGGCTTTTCAACAGCCGGGCCGGGCCAGCTGCCGCTGGGGCCCGGGCGGGCGGCAGGACGGGCAGGAGAGACCCGGCAACCTCCGGGATCGCGGCACCGGTGGCCCAGCCGTGAGGGGATCCGTGAGGGGATGGTGAAGGATGTGAGTGGAGCGCGGGGAGGCCGTGAGGAACGGTGAGGGACCGCGGCGGATCGCGCGGCCCCGCCGTTAGGGGCGGGCGGTGGATGTGACGCGCGGCGCGCGGGGCATTGTGGGAGCTCCGCCAGCCCGTCCAGCCGATCCCGGTGGCCCCGCGGGCGGAGCGGAGCGGCGGGAGCGGCAGCGGGGACGGGAGCGGGGCCGCCGCCGGCCGACCGGAGACATCTTGTCCGCGCCGTAAGTCACCGCCGTGGTCCGCCCGCCGTGCGGCAAGGAGGGGGCGCGGGGAGCTCTGTGGCGGCGCGGTGGCACCGGCGGGGTGGGGGGGCCGCGAGCCGGCCGGGCGCGCCGTGGGACGGACGGGAGCCGGTCCCCTCCCGTGAGAGTCGGCTCAGCTGCTTCTTGCTGTGCCTCGGGTGAAGCCGGGAGACCCACCCGCGCCCCGCGAAATGGTGGCAGCGGGGCTCTGTTTCCCTGGAATCCGCTATGGAATGACGGTGTGGGGCTGGGGGAGCCCCGGGGTGCAGGAGCGGCCGGTGTTGGAGCCGCGGTCCCGCGTCCCGGCTGCTCCACGCACGGACGGGCTCCGTCCTTGTCGCTCGCACCGCGGGTCGCCGAGCGCGGGAGGATAATCGAGGGAGACTGCGAAAAGCACAAGGCAAAAAACAGCAGGACTCGTTTTCCGTGTGTTTCACTTCGGGATGAGGAACCCGCGGTGTAAAAGTTACCTGCCTCATTTGGATGACTTAATTTTAAAAAGCCTAATGATGTATTTTAAACCGTAAGCAGAGGCTTCTGAGAGTAGTAAAAATAAATGTTTGTCTGGAATCAGGGCTCCTTGTTCTTTTAGGACTGTCACTTCTTGTGGAGGCTGCAATATGTCTGCCTGCGGGATTTGAGCAGCCCGTGCGGACGGGCTGGGGGTGGGAGTTCCTCCGGGGGCACCGCGAGTGCTGCGGGGCGCAGGTGAGCGCAGGTTCCCGGGGCTCGCCTGGGTGCTGCGGGGCTCAGGTTCCCGGGGCTCCCCTGAGTGCTGCGGGGCGCAGGTGAGCGCAGGTTCCCGGGGCGCCCCTGGGTGCTGCGGGGCGCAGGTGAGCGCGGGTTCCTGGGGCTCCCCTGGGTGCTGCGGGGCGCAGGTGAGCGCAGGTTCCCGGGGCTCCCCTGGGTGCTGCAGGGCGCAGGTTCCTGGGGCTCCCCTGGGTGCTGCAGGGCGCAGGTTCCTGGGGCTCCGCACCCGCTCCAGCGTTGGGACTCGGACTCCAGGCTGACGTGTTGGTGCGTGTAGGAGACAGGGAGGGCAACAGACTGTTTCAGTGACTCGCATCTCTCTGTAATCCTTTTGTTTCTTCTGTAATCTTTAAAAGTAAGTTGTAGAAGGCCCATGAAATTGTGCCTGAAGCCAGCTAGTTGGAACTAGCTCCTATGCTAGCAGGGTGGTGTAAAGCTGAGGTTGCTTCATTTGTAGAGATGGAAGGAGACTTGTTGTTGAAATATAGTTGGATGAGACTTGTTATTTATCTCTTGACCGTGCAAGTGAACAACCGTTTTTTCCCCAGGACTGTGTGTGACTGTCACTTAGCAACAGGTCTGTAGAGAACTTGGCAGATCCACTGCCTCCCCCATTCTGAAGAGTAAAAAGAAATAAATTAGCAAAGGAGCAAGAGTGCCATTAATAAAAACAGTACCTGGGTTCTCAGAGACAGCCCAGAGCTGAAAGACTTAATTTGAAGCAAGACAATTACAGTTGCTTTGAAAATTATGTTTTAATGCAGTTGGGTATGGAAGATTTTGCATCAGGCAGTCCCTAGAAAACTACTCAGTGTATTTGGGAGTTTGGAGCATTTTTTTTTTTTTTTAAGTGTTGTGAAAGGAATTGTTTACTTATAATGGTTGCAGGTTATTTTGATGCATTGTGTTTCATAACCTTTCACACTGAAATCTAGGCCTTCTGGGTTTTTGAACAGTAACTTTGCTTTGCTGTGTGTGCTGTATACCCTTCTGATTGCCAGTAAAGCCAAATGTTGACAGTGTAGATTAAGCCATAACTGATATGAAAACTAGTGGTAAGACTAGAATTTGGCTTAAAGTCAGTAAAGTGCTTAAGCACTGCTTATTTTGTAGATCAGCATGAGCAAAAAGAGAAGTCCACCACTGCAAGCTTAGTCTTAAAAGAAACCAGTGTGTTTAAATTTGTTCTTAGGAGTTGCTTAGTTCTGCCAGTGCATAGCAATGAGCATTGATAAAAGATATTCTCTTGATAAGGTAGGTGATATATTTACACTCTGGAAGAATAGTCATGAACCTTTGCTCTCAGAGAAGTACAGAAATGTTTTTGTGCAGCTCTGTCAGCTAGTTACAAAGCCTGCTGTCTGTTCCACAGAAAAGGTAGTCCTACCCCAGCAAGGTTATAAAGTTGGAATCAAGGAGCAGGGATCTGTAACTGATGCCACGAGTGGAGAAAAGAGCCTCCAGACAGATCCTCCACTGGGAGAGGAAATGTTGGCCCTGCGGGTAGTGCTAAGCATTAGGTTTTGTCATCTCAAGAGGTAAAATTGGAAAAGAAAAATGCAGCACTTGTGGAAAGACTGCAGGGTTGGCTTGTTTGCTTGCTTGGGAAGGATGCTGTGAACACATAAAGAAGCTATAGTTCCTTACCCAGGCCCATTCTGAAGACAGGATGGTCAGGATTCAGCTCATGGTCCTTGTTCCAGGAGTGATGCAAGAATCACACCATTCATGACCTCCTTGATGGATCAATCCCTTCTCTCAGCAGTATATTATCTATTTTAAATTTTGTTCTGCATCCGAATTTGCCTTGGAAGCATCCACATGAATTCTTTATTATGTTTTTATTTTCCTACAAAAATGTTAAAGGACAAAGTTGTTTTCAAAGTGTTATTTAAAACAGTTTTTCTGCATTGAATTCACAAATTATCCACTGACTTAAGGCCCTCTGTAAATTTTTATGCTTTCTATCTAGTGTACAAAAACCTACAATGTATAAATGGTTATTTCAGGCCAGTTCTCCCAGCAGTGGTCAGTGAAGACAATTGTATTTACATTTTCCTGGCTATTGGTGGCAGGATGCCCAGCAGAAACTTGTCACACTCCCAGCACTGTTCTTAGTGGAAGTTTGCACATTAAGGGGTATTTGTTTTGGTGTTTCAGACCCACTGTGGGAGGGAGGGGCTTCTGCCAGTTGAGTACAATTGTACAGCAGTATTTTGTTTAGCACACTGATTTTGTGAAAATGTTATTCCTGTTTGTCCCATCATTTATGTTACTGCTATAGGAATTTTAATTGTCTTAATCTTCAACAGAAAGTACACATATTGTGCATTCCAAGATGGAGAGTGTTCTCTTGGTTTTCCAAATGAAAATAAATGTATGGTGCTACCTTCTCAGCTGAGAAGTTAACGGAGTTTTCTGGTTTACAACTGTTTTTCACTCTTCTGTCTGTTTCAGACCTCGAAGAGTTACTGCTTTGATAAAGAGCTTGATCTGAAGTTTCAAATCACATCTGATCAAATGATAGCTGAGTGATTGGCTCTTTTTAGTTCTGTTGTACCTAGAAACCACAGTCCCAGGCAGAGACACTGTTGTGCCAGGCAAGCATTATAGGAGAATATTCTATACCATTTTATAAATATGCCACAGTAGCTTCTGATTAGCTAAGAACAGAGCAAGCTCATTGTCACAGCAAAGTCAAATGCATGTTTTCAGCAAGAGTTCAGCAAGTGCATTTTATTATGGGACATAAATAGATTTACTAGAGAATGGCAGCACTTACATTGTTAATATTTTGAAACAATGGAAAGAAAGTAGTATTGCAACTAATCTCCTGTGATACAAACTGAACTTTCCAGCTTGGTCTTTGTACTGAAATAAAAAGAATTACTATATCTTAATATTTCTCCTACTGTATTGGTGATCTGGATTCCACTGGTTACTGATATGATCATGTAGATCTAAATTGAATAATCTCTTTGCTAAATGCAGTTGATACACCAGTGTAAGCCCACAATCAGAACAGTGTCTGTCTCACAGCAGTAAGATTCATAGTAATTTGTTTAGTCATTAAGAACCAGTACATGAAAACTGTTAATTACAGACTGGGTTTATTACTGCTCTTTGATCAAGGTGTCAAATCAACCAAACTAATGAAGTGCTGGTATTTGGACTTTGGGTATCACTTCACCAGAATGTTCAGGCTGTACTTTAAGAATTATGTGATGTTAAACCTTTCAGAAAAACAGATGCCTATGTGCATTTGAGGAAGATGGTATTTGAAAGTGTGGTTCAGCAGAGTATCTGTCTTCACACAGAAAAATATGGCTAACCAGAGTTACTCCAGCCAGTTTCAAAGAGAAGAATGGTAATTTTGCTGATTTCATTGCTATATGTTAAGGTTGTTTCTTAGGAAATGTGTTTCTGGCTCACAAAGATGTGACAGCAGAGGAACCTTGTAGCTTGGATCTTTGTTTTGACCCAATTAATACACCATCAAATCTTATTTAGGCATTTGGAGATCTTAGAAACCAGTGTGAATCTTGCCACAGTCTTTAAGGGGTTTCAAAAGGCTGTGAATCAAGTGCTAAATTCTGTATCTAGGGCGATCTGCATCCAAGCACAGCAGAGCCACTGAAGAATGTAGTGTTATATTTGATTTGAAGTCAAAGCTGAACTTAGATACTTGACTCCTCAATGACATCCCCTGATTATCAGAGTGATAATTTTGTGAACTCTCCCATTGAAACAAAATCATATTATTGTCAAATTTTTGGGATTTTGCAATGTATTTGGTAAAGTTCTCAAAAATTCCATTACAAAGGCAGGACAGAAGAAAGAAAGGAAAGTACTGGTCCATTGACTATGATTTATTTAAAAATATATTTACTTGCTTTTATTATACCGCTCAAATCTAGTCTGCACTATGATGCGTGTGATAAGGTTGCCTTCGGTTGCCTCTCTGATCTGTGGGCTCCCAGTGACTCAGCAAACAGCTCTGGTTCATTAGTGCTGGCAGCATTCCAGAGTTTCTGGTGTTACAAAGATAAACCATTTCGGAACATGTAAGGCACACGGCTTTCTTTGGTTTTTGATCTGTTGCCATGCTCTTTGCATTTCGCCTCAATACATTTCTTGTGGCTTTTGCAAGTGAAATCTTTCTGTTCTCTTTTTTGGTGGAGTACTAGAAATAGGGAAGAGGCATTTGAGAGTTGGTTGGGCCATCCTGCAGCTCAAAGGCAGGACAAACAGGTTCTGCAAAGTAATGATCCTGAATACACAATTAAGCTCTGAGAAAAGGTTTCCATGCCAGGCTCTCACTTTCACCTTCCAAATGGTTGCATGGTTGGTAACAGTAAAAGTGGTACTTGAAACCTAATTGAAGTTTTCCTCCCTCCACCCCCAACATCTAAGCAATCTGAGCATACATGCAGGAATGGGATCCTTGAGATGGGCATCTATATCGTATTTCACCTTTAATACTGAAAGTTTCCAAAGTTCTTGAGTTTTTCATTATTCAGCCCTGTGCACCAGCATCTTTCAAATTCAGGCAAAGTTTCTTCTCAGAAATAAACTTACAGCTAGAAAGTTAGAAAATATAAGGGGATCAGGTGAAATGGCAAGATGGTCACATTACATTAATATTTAGGATACCCTGGACCTAAGTGCATAAAATAAATTATCTGTAGAATTTGCAAAGGTGATGAAGTAAGCTTATCAAAGAAGAAAAAAAGACACCATTTTATAAATGGGTTGGTGTTACTCTGTATTACTACTACTTTACTAATGCTTTGATGCAATTGTTACAGCAGCTGACAGCTAAGATGACATTCTCCCAAAGAAAGAAAACATTAGGAAGTAAGGATTTCCATATTCTCTTCCAGCTGTTCTGATATCCCATAAACTCACGAAATGATTAATAGACGTTTGCTGCTTAAGGCTTGCAGGCTTTCTCTAGAAAAGTTATGGTTTTCATCATTGACCTCTCAGTTACAAACCAAATATATTGCAGGCAGCACAGATATTTCTCATGCCCCTCTCTGTGGTGTTTGATTCAATGAACCTCTTAACATTTGAGGTTAAACATCCCTAGTACTGTTGATGAAAATGGATTATGAAATATGAAAATAATTCTTGGCAGAAGGTCTGTAGACAAGTCAAAGCCCCACCCGGCCTTCCTGCTAACAAAGACAGAGCTAACTAGATGAGAAAATGCAATTAAATGGATGTTTTTAAAATCATTGGTGAGCTGCATTTGGGTCATTTCTCAAGGCAAGAAAATTGGCTTTTGTCCTCCTCTTCACAGAACAATGATTGTTACAGAATTAAGTCCACAGCAGATGAAAGGAGAAGGAGCCCTTTTGATGGCTTCCCCTTTCCAAAGATTCCTGTCTGTCTCTGGACATGAGTTTCCTAAACATAGTGTGACTTTCATTTGATCTATGAAGATGGAGTTGTTTTGTTTAGCCTTAAAAAACAGTAAACCCTTTGCATTTAATTTAATTAATGTGCTGTGCAGGTGTAGATGCTGATGAATGGAATGTGGAAGTGGAAAGGAGAAGAAACCTCTGATACTCTGTGTTCCTTTAGCTATTCTGACTGGTATTTGTTTGGTAGGTATGTAGCCTAAATCTTATTGACTCATTGGGAATTGAAGGACTGCAGGATGTGTCAGCACAGAACAGAAATTGCAAAACCTAGGAGTGGGGTTGATGAACCTGTTTTGCCTTATTCTGAGATCACTTCGTTGTGGATTCAGGCATGTGGAAAATACAGTTAGGTTCTGAGGGCAAGGAGATAATTCAGGATAAACAAGTGAAAAATAGGGGAAGTAGAGAAATGATGTGATAGGAAAGCAGAACTAAAGGAGGTTTCATTGTGGAGTGTATAAACACATCAGTGAATGTGGATGTGTGCTAAGCAGGATTTGTGCAGCAGGGGAAGAAGTGAGGTGTGTCAGTATCACTGATGCGTTCTGCTGGTTTCCCTGGAGTTCAGACATGAGGGAGGGGCGAGGTGGGGAGATGGGCACTGTCTCCTTTCCTCTGAGGTAATTTCAAAACCCAGCGAGTTGCCTAAACCTTCAAAGACACCTTGAGAGCCTGTGAACCCTCCACCTCTTTGGATTTGTCAGTTTCTATTTACAGCCTGAGCAAAAATCAAAGAGAGGACAGAATATGTTTGACAGCTGTATCAGCAGTAGGTTCCCTCAGTGAGATAAACTGAGATACAGTTGTCAGATCCGTGCTGGGTGTTCAGAGCATTGTGCTGTCAGGGAAAGGTGGCAGATAGAAGATTGTCAGATTCCTAGAGGGAATGTTGAAGCAATATGGTCTTCAGTGTAGAGATGGCTGAGTTTTGGTAGGTTCAAATCTCAAGAGGGTCATTTCAGATCTTTCTAAAAATAGAACATCTACTGTACAGAAGATGTATTTTGGCATCCATAGGCCTTTGTTCTGTCAATTCTCATGCACCTGGAAAATCGAGTATTTTAAAGGAGGTGAATATACTTTATGAAAGCTTTAGTGGATATGGTTTCTCCTAGTTTGGAATATAATTATACATGAACCTAACTGCCCTATCACATCTGTTCAAATGCCCTACCAAAAGGCTTTCATGGAGATAAGGGGGCTGTGTCAGTCTCCTTTCAGAAAGCATCCTCTGCTTCAATGCAGAAGTTCTATTTTAAATCCGGTACTTATCACTCTTTGTTCCATTAGTGGTACTGGGTCTACTCTGTTAGGAATTTCAGGAAGGTTGATTCTTAGGAAATAACTTGTTTTATATATTTTCTGTATGAAGTTATATGAAATTACAATGGAGAGTAAACATTCTGTGGGAAATTATTTTAGGTTCTTGTGTATGCTCTAAAAAGACAACTTGTCTGTATGTTTTAGATACTGTGATGCATTGCCTATCCCAAAATGCTGATTTGCCTTGGAATTCAATGTGTGGTCGTAACAGTATCAGTCCTTATTAATAACCTTTTATCTTTTGTTCCTTTTTTTTTATTTATTTATTTCTTCCTAAATATAGAGTGCTGTTTCAGACCTGATACAGACAAGATGTCCAGCAGGGGTGGAAAGAAGAAGTCTACCAAGACTTCCCGCTCCGCAAAGGCTGGAGTCATATTCCCTGTTGGAAGAATGCTCCGGTACATTAAGAAAGGCCACCCGAAGTACAGAATTGGTGTTGGTGCTCCTGTGTACATGGCTGCTGTACTGGAATATCTAACTGGTAGGTTTTGCTGAATTATGTGAAATAGTAGCAGTAAAAGTTAAACACAAACTGAATTTACACAGGAAAAAACCCAAACAAGCGAAAAAAATTACAGCTGAAGTGTGCATTTTGCTGATCACACATCTAAGCCAAAATCAAGGTACCCTCACCCCTGCCTCAGAGCCTTGATGACTTTTGTTCATTCCAGCATGGAATTTGCTTTCATGACTTGTAAGCTTACTCCTTCCACATAGTCAGGGTTCCCAATGCCATCAGTGTGTGTGGACTACATTGTTGCAGTTCTCCTGGCTTTGATTTTGTGATTGATGACTTTGTTTGGGTTATAATTGACTGTTAAGCTTATACATTAATTTTAAGTAGAGAGCTTCTCCATGTTTACACAGGGCTGAGACTGCTTACAGTCTTGTTTAAACATTTTTGTTCAATTTGCAGATTTATTTTCAGACTACACATGCTGTTTGCAATTTGTTTGATTGATTCTGTGTATACATGCAAACTGTTCATCTGCCCTGGATCTATGTAGCTTATTTGCTTACAGCTGTAGTTCTTGTTCTGTTCCCTTCATCACATCAGAATGAGAATACCTTAAATAACTATCTCATCCTCACCTTCTCACAGACAAAAGTATTATTTTGCCTCCATTTAGAAATAAGATTCAAAGGAATAAAATACTTTGCCCAATGACATAAACAACCAGACATGCAAGTAAAGATCTTTACATAGCTGTTTTGTTCTCAAACAAAACTGAAGACATTGCAAGTTTACCCACTCTAAACAACATTACAAAAGCAGTCTTTTGACAGAAAACCCCAACTGGAATAGAATCAGCATATGGGCTTTTTGCAATAATGGTTGGCTTAAAATAAAAGAAGCAAATGGATAAGAATGTTCAATCACCTTCATGTGGCCAGATTGATGTCTAAGTATTTACCTGTGGTGTAGGGATCTAGTAAAAAGCACAAGTGCCAGACAGATGAGTGGTTGGAGCCAGATTCTATTAGCATGACTAAGGAAAAGTTTAAATTGGATCTTATTTCTCAAAGCAGTGTTTCTTTATCCAGTGCATCTTGCTTGTGTTGGTGTTCTTGCCATAGGTTCAAGTCTTTCAATGGACAGGAGACTTTAAGCTGTATTGATGTGCTGAGCCTCTAAAAGGTACAGGTTTTTCTTTGACTCAGGTAGAAAGTTATAAAGCATTGACTTTTCTGGGAGTATTTAAAACTGAAGCAACCTGACCGTACCACACTATTAGATATAATGGCTCTTGACATTGAAGGACAGAAGATTTCTTCTTATAAAGTTTCTTCTTCCCCTAAAGAGGAAGATTGGTAATATTACCAAAAAATTAATATTGTGTTTGTTTTCTGTAGGGTATTCATATAATCAAATATATATTTTTTTCACCTTCACTTGTCAGCATTCAGTATTCTTTATAGTACAGGTGAGCTTAAGGCTCTGCTAATGAGCAGCACATGTTACGGGTTAAATAATTTAGTGTTGACTGAGGCAATGATAGTTTAGGCAGTTAAGAATAGGCTGGGGAAATAAAGGTGTTTCTTTAACTGCTGTGCATCCTGAGAACTTGTCTGAGGATATTACCAACAACAAGAAAAAAAAAAAAACAAAAAACAAGGAAAATAACATATATCACTTTAGGAAAAACTAAAGGCAGGAGGAAAGAAAAGAAGGAATAGCTGAAGGAGAATGTACTTTCCTTCTTTATCCCTTCAACTTTAAGGCAGTTTTGCAGTGGTTTTTCTGTCTCCTTGGAAGGCTAGGTAGGTAATCCTAGTAACCTGTATCTCATGGCTTTCTTTCATTCCTGTACATAGATGCATGTCAGAAGCACAGATATGCCTTTCTTTCCAGAGTTAGTACCAGTTTTATCATAGAATTATTTGGATTGGAAGGGACTTCCTTTTTCTAATCCCTTTTCCATGGACAGGGATACCTCCCTCTACACCAGATTGTTCCAAACCACATCCACTCTGGTAGCCTTGAACCATCTTGGCTATTTCCAGAGATGGGGCAGCCACAGCTTCTCTAGGCACCTGTGCCAGTGCCCCAGCACACTGACAGGGAAGAATTTCTTCCTAATATCTAATCTAAATCTATCCTGTTTCAGTTTGAAGCGATTCCCCCTTGTAGTCCCATCACTACAAGTCCTTCCCTCTCCAGCTTTCCTGTAGACCCCTTACTGGTTCAATCTGGTGGGTTTTTTTTTTTCCTTTCTCTAAGTTTTTCACACAGTGTATGTATAGTATAATTTTTAAGCCTTTAGTGCTCAGTATGTTTTCTGAACTTCAGGTCATTCATCTTTTTCAAGGCGTTTCAGAAACAGCCCCTTGAAATGGAATGCTTGGAGATTTTTGGTTTGTGTTCTTTTTACCTCTTGGTAGTTATTACTTCACAAAACCATAGAAATCCTGACTTCTCTCCAGGAGAGTTTTTAAAGATCCTTATGTTAGCACATGGTCTGAGACCAAATCAAAGCATTTCAACCATTTCAAAGTAAAACTAGGAATGTGACATAATAGGAAGGAGACCATGTGAACTGGCATGCTAATAAATTGGCTAAATCAAAAAGCAATCCTGTGTATCCAGGAAGGAGTATAAAATATCAAAAGCAGTCATAGGAAAGAGAAACTAAAGAAACAAAAACGGGAGGGGAAATGACAGAGACATGACCTAATAGAAAGGAACCTACTAAGGTTTAAAAATTGGTACATCAGTGCACAGAATATAGAACCATCTTCATTAATTTAGAAAGTGAGGTGTTAAATTTTGCTGGCCTTTTCTGAGATTTAACTTCAATGTAAATCTGAAATCAGCCCATAATGTGGTCAGATCTGGGATTTTTTGTTCAATTTGAGATTTGAACTTCTGAAATGCTTCCAGCTGTTCAAACTTGAAGATCTGTTCTGGATTCATCTCGAGTTATGACTTACCACTTTGTACTTTGAAAGTGGCTTATTTTTATCATGTATGTACAACTCTTCATCAAAAAGTAAGAGTACATATTCTATGATTTCACATGTCCTTAGATTTCAATATACTTCACATTTAAACAAGTTGCACAGTGAGTAGCCTCCTTTTCTTACTTACTCACTAAAGGTTCTTGTTACCTAGAAGTAACATTAGAAAATAATTCTCTCATCAGCACAAGCAGTGTATCCAGTTTTGTTTCTTAAGCCAAGTTGCTTGTTGTTTCCTGTTTTTTATCTATGGAAATAATGTGTTATGTCCACTGTAAATAGAATGCAAGTGTGTCTTTCATGGGTAACTGTGCAGAAAGTACCTTTGTGTGTTACCAATATTGAAGCAGGTGGATATACCTCCTTTCTTTATGCTGGAGGAATAGTGTGGATGCCAAAGAACTATAAATGCACAGTTCTTTCTTTTCCTTCTTTGAAGCAGCAGTTCATGCAGTGCTTCCTGCTTTGCAGGGAATAGTCAGAATAGTGGATCAGTTCTGCAGCATAAGCAGAAATTAATTTTATCCAATATCAACAGTTTTCAGTTGGCACATTCTGTGTTGGTGATTACTTTTGTCTTCTTTCCCTATTGCACTTACTTTCCAATGGTTCCTTGTCTATTTGTTTTTCCAAATGTGAACTTCAGAAAACTGCAATACCCCCCCATAATTTCTTTGCAAAGTAGTGCATCAGTATCAGTTTATGTCAAAAAAGAACTCTAGGTCAGTCAAGAGAATGGCCACAGACTTCATCTGGAGCATTGCAGCCACTCACATGAATTTTGGTGGTTTATATTTGTCAGAACTGGTCCTGCCACACATCTCATCAAGTATGGTCTTTTCGGCTGTAGAGCTTGCACAAGTTACAATATGTAGTCCAGCCTTTCTTAATAATGGAAAAAGACACTCCTTTGCCCTTGAAAAACAGAAATCTCTTGTGCATATTTAAAGGCAGAAAGAGCCAGGCCTGCAAGTGATTTCTGCTCTCCCCTCCCCCATCAACCATTCTACACTGTAAATAATTTTCAATTGCCAAAATGTCATAGTAAATGAGAAGAAGGAGAAGTTTATAAAACAGCAGGAGCACAGGAATACAGAAGAAATGAGACTGATTTATATTTGTTACATACATATGAAGGTAGGAGAAAATGTTTAATACTTGTTTTCTCCATTAGATCTTTTTCTCAGCTATGTTTTTGGGATTGTTTTGCACAGGGTACTGTTGATCATATATTTTCTTGAAGTGTAAAATAAGCACTCCTTGAAGCCCATGGTTAGAATTGCATTCTGAGGCATTCCCATGTTACCCGAGTTTTTGTTTTCAGGCTTTCTGATGTCACCAGAATCAAATAATGGGGGTTCCTGTGCTGGAGCTCAATTCATTGCATTTTTATCTTGATGAATTTTCAATGTGGGAAACATTTTTCATCCAGCTGCTGATTGGCTGCAAAAGAAAAGTCTTTCCTGAGTGCAGTAGGTTTTACTGCTCACTTCAGATGCTCGCTTTGCAATGTCCAAGCTGAGCAAATTGAACTGCTGTTCACCTCTTGTGTTCTGCTTACTGACCAAAGTCTTCACAGGGTCACAGAGGAAAACAATGATTTGCCCTTTCTTCAAAGCAGATGTTCCACTGAACTGCTTGGAAGCAGAGGGGAGCTCAGGGGTTCACAGTAAAAAAGCATTTGGTTAAAAGCAGATTCAAGTTCCAGGCAGTCTGAGACTCCCATAAATAACCATCCTTGGAGAGTCATGAAATTTAAGAAGATAATTAACTGACAATATTTTTTGATACCATTGAAATGTGCATTCACTATAAAGATACATTTCTGCTATTTAAACAGGCAGCTTTAGAAACACAACTTCATTTCATGGTGGTGTACCACAGACTCTGTCCCAAAGATGCCAGAAGTAAATTAAGGGCTCATAGGACCTGTGCTGTCTTTGAGCAAGCATGAAAATACCTTTTGTATGTAATGTGCTTTCAATATGGATTAATACTGCACCTAAAATACAGCAGGGCTGT